TCCCTCTCACAATCCAGGACTGCTGGCTCCCAACTTCTCTCCTGTCTGCCTTCCTGATTGTCCATGACCGCTTCTGCCTGCCAGCCTGATCACCCCTAACCACTACCATGCCAGCCTGATTGATGTCTAACTACTCCCCTGTCAGCCTGTTTGGCAACAACTTCCCTCCTCTGCTGGCCTGGTCACCCCTCACTGCTCTCCCCTGCTGGCCATCTTGTGGTGGCCATCTTGTGTCCACATGGGGGCAGGATCTTTGACCACATGGGAGCAGCTGTCTTGATCTTGTGTGTTGGAGTGATGGTCAATTTGCATATTACTCTCTTATTAGATAGGATATTTTTGTCAACTTCAAATGAAATGACAATAACAAAATTAAGTTCTTATATTTTCTTTATTATCACACATATTGTTGACAGCCAACTATAAAATTCTATGAAAGATTCTTCTGAAATATGAATACTTTCTAAAATTTAATCTTTTCTGTTAGGTATAGTCCAATCATTCTTTAAATCCACAACAGGAACATGGTGCAACATCCTTTCCCTTTGGTGACTGGTCTTATCTCCCCTTTTATTTTTTTACTAGAGGTCTGGCGCACAAAATTCATGTGCAGGTATGGTCCCTAGGCCTGGCCTGTGGTCAGGGCCATCTTCCCCAGCTGCCTGCAGCCAGCCCCACCCGCCACCAACACCCACCCCCGGTTCCCTGTTCACCATCCAGTGATTAGTGCCTGGATGGCCGGGGAAAGAAACCGAGAAGTCGGCTATTCCTGCCTGCTCGCCACCCCCCTTCAGGCAATGGGAGCCTGCTGCTGGGGAAAGGGACCAAGAGGTGGTCAGTGTGCCTCATATTATAGTAACTGGTCCAGCGGTCGTTCTGGTCATTCTGCCATTAGGGTCAATGTGCATATTACCCTTTTATCATATAGGATGTTGTGTCCAATTGACAACAAAATTTTCTATACCAGTAAGTCTCTGAGTATGTGTTTGCTTATTTTCAATCTTCACACAAGGATATTTTTCCCCATTAATTTCTAGAGAAAGTGAAAGGGAGGGAAGAGGTGGAAGGGAAGAGAGAGAGAGTGAAACAGACATTGACATGAGAGAGACATATTGATTGCCCCCCATGAGGCTGGGGAACCTGCAACCAGGTAGCTATCCCTGACAGGGATCAAACCCACAACCCTTCCATCCTTGGGTCAATGCTCTAACCACTGAGAAAAATGGTCAGGGCTCTGAGTGTTTGTTTTTAAAATTATTTTAATTGAATTATTATTTTGTAAATACTTATACGTAAAGACAGCATAAATTATAAATTTTTATTTTAAATTATCAATCATGAGGGATAAAATTTTAGTGGACTGAGTCTCCCATTGAGATGGATAGAGGTGACCTTTATAATGCCTTTAGTAAAAGGAATTATAGTTTCTGATGCTTCAGAGGATGTTCTGAGCCCTACCTCATAGCAATGCAAGAGAGTAATATGGGTGAGGCTAATGCAGGCAAAGAGCTCCTTGTGAAAGGGGATGTGTAAAACAGAATCTAGAATCAGGCACCCACCCAAATAGGTGAGTTTTAGAATTGTGGATGTAAGAAGATAGAGGATCTGGAAATTGACTCCTTTAAAATTATTTTCAACTATGTACTTCTTGAAAGTCTTTGCAGATCTCTCACAGACCACTGATTTATATCACTGCAGTTAACCAGTTACATTCCTTACAGTGTCACTGCGTATCTGTACAAGCAGTAAGGGAAATCTCTTACACAAGCAATGATTAAACCCAAAACTTTTTATATCCTTAGTTATAGGAGTTCTGTTCAGCTAGTCTTCAGATGGTTCTCTAGGTTGATTGCACGATAATTTAGTTGTCATTTTGATGTGATCCTGGAAGGAGGTGAGCATCTTGCCGTCTTGACTGGAATCCTCCACAATCAAAAACTAAAACTTTTAACAAGTTAAAATACTGACTTAAAAAATAAAATACCAACACAGTGATATTACCAAAATAAATACTACTGTACTTAACACGTAGCACTTTGCAGTTTACAATTATCTTCCACATGCGTTATCTCATTTACATCTTCCCATTATCCTGTGAAGTAGATGTTGCTTCCATCCCACCTGTTTTCTCAGTGAGGAAATTGAGGCTCTGAGGAGTGACTTGTTTATAGAAGGTGGAATTAAGATCTTTTCACTCCTAGTGTATTTTTTTACACCTTTTCCTTCCTTCCTTCCTTCCTTCCTTCCTTCTTTCCTTCCTCCCTCCCTCCCTTGTTCCTTCCTTCCCTCTCTCTCTCCTTCCTTCTGTCCCTCCCTCTCTTCCTTTTTCCTTCCTTCCTTCCTTCCTTCCTTCCTTCCTTCCTTCCTTCCTTCCTTCCTTCCTTCCTTCCTTCCTTCCTTCCTTCCTTTTTTAAAATTAATTTCCTAGAGGAAGGGAGTAGGGGAGTGAGATGGAAACATCAATGATGAGAGAGAACCATTAATTGGCTGCCTCCTGCCTGCCCCACATTGCAGATCAAGCCCACAACCCGGGCATGTTTCCTCACTGGTAATCAAAGTGTGACCTCCTGGTTTATAGGTCAACACTCAACCACTGAGCCACTCTGGCCGAGTTATAACACCATTTCAGAGGGTATTATTGATTTTAAGTCCTTACTGTCCATGAGGCAAAACTCTGGATTATAGTCTGAATCTTTCTGTTAACCTTGCTGCCATTGTCATATTCGTTGGATAATATATTTTATAGTGTTAAGCACTACCCTCTATGCTCTAAGGCACTCTCAGGCCTTGCAGATAATCAAATAATCCATGGATTCTGTCATCAAGGAGTTCACTCACAATAGAGGAAAGAGTTATTCATATTTAAAAGGTAACTATTGGACATCACTGGAGAATCAAAATAGTACCATTTCTCTTTCTCAGGAGAATAGTAAGCAGTGCTTGGCAGTAGTCTAACAGTCTTATCATAGCAGTAAGCATGGGGCCTATGCTTTCTGGGCCTAATAATCAAGGGACTCTAATGAGTAAGAGAAATCTTATAGAAAATTCATAATACACAGTGGCAACATAGAGAGGAATCATGTATAGTAGAATTTACCCTTGAAAATTCCTTACGTGGTTTTCAGTATATACCCAGAGCAGTGATTGAAATATGCAAAGTGTTCAAGTGTATATTGATTGCCTGTATACAGTATGAAATACATGTATAAAAATGTTTACAATGTTTTTAATTTTATTATTGAATCTGTATAGGACTCAACTCTCTATCCTTTGGCCATGTGATATCTACCATATATAGTAGATAGCTTTATGGTATAGAATCAGAGAGAGCTTGTGTTTTGGAGTATTTTGTTTGTTTGCTTGTTTTTTTCCAGGCAGAAACTTGAGCATTTTCATATGATAAGTATAAAGACTCAGTGAATAAAGAGAAGTGGAAAATACAAAACAGGAGTCAGAAAAAGATGGCATCCAGGAACCTTAGGAATTTTCTGACAGAAAACAATTATATTAACTGGATTTAACCTTTGGATAGTTCATTTAACCTCTCTGTGATTTAGTTTCACCATCTCTAAAATGGGCGAAATAATTTGACCTACGACACGGGGTTGTTTTAGGATTAAATTAGTAAATGCAGCAAAGAGACCCTGACACATACTAAACATGAGATAAATATTAGCAGTTATTTATTTTGTTTATATTGCACTTTTCCTTATATATCTGATCAAAGATTCTTTATATATTTCAAATTATACTTTCTTATTTGTATAGTTAAGCTTGCCTATACTTTAGTCTACTTGATTGATATATAGATCAGTTACAGTAGTAAAGTATTTTTATATTATACTCTAACTAGATGTTTTTAGTTCTGTAAAACATCTTTAAAATCTTTCTAAGAGGAAAAGGTGGATGTTAATATTAAATGACATCTTTTTCTAGCCACACAGTTAATCAACTCAGTATTCTGTGATATATAAGATGTATATATCTGTTATATGATATCTGTTATACACCAAAAATAAATGTAAGTATGTGTAGAATCTGAGAATTACATGAAAACATAAAATACATAATTTCTGCTTTCTGGAACCTATACTTTTTAAATGACTATTTTTTTAAATCATTCTTTTGCATACGGAAGTAAATAAAAATGGTCCTCTAAAAAAATAATATAGCAATATAGACAGGAATGAAGGGGACGGGCTTCAGTCTTACCTTGGAAGTAACTATAATGATCAGGACCTGAGGTAATAATAAGTGGAATTAAGGTGGCTGTCTAGAACCAGAGCTGAAGTAATATATTTAAGGTATACTTCAATGGAAGAATTGATAGAACTTAATGTTTAATTAATCTTAGGGATTAATATATATACTGTCAAATGTAAATGAGCTTTTATTTATTGTTTTTGATATATGGATGTGGAAAATTTTTTATTCCCTTGATTTTTACATTATTCCTAAACTGCAGCCAAATTTGTAAGATATAATAGTCTAGCATTAAATTTATTAAATTTTAAACCTTCCCACGAAATTTTGTTTAAACCATAATGAAAATCTGCAGGGCATAAGTGAGATCAAGTCAGACTCAACTCAGTGTTTTGGTGCTTGATCAATGGCTGGCACTGAAGAAGATTTCTTTGCATAGCCATTGAATTATCACCACTGTTAGCAGATGGTGCAATGAAATGCGCACTGTAATGTTGAGCCCATAAAATTAAAATATGTTTTGTAGCACAGTGGAAAATTTTGAAAGATTATAGTTCCCATTAAAATTGAGACTTTTTAGTACTATAAATTTACATCTTTCTCATAGCATTGTCTTCATAAAGTTGTCTTTCACGGTGTATGTGGAAAGAATTCTCAAAAGGTAATCTCAAATACTGTGTAATGTGTAATTTTAAAATGTTCACAATAATATTACTACGTTTTTATCACATCTGGATCTTGTGCCATATACACAGAAGACATTTTTAAATATTTTGTGATTCAATTTTGTTTTATAGTGATCGATATGTTGGTAAAACTTATTCCAAATCCTCTTCCTTTCTGGATTATGTCAGAAAGTCTCTAAAGAAGCTTGGATTAGATGAATTTAAGGTCAGTATATGATTACCCATTGTCTTTATGAAAACAGGAGAATTTCTAGGGGTAATGAACTGATATAATACAAAATCATTTGCCTTCTCTTTTTCTCTTATTTAGTAAAAATATTCTAAATTATATTGAAACCAAACCTCCATTACCGTTATTTCAGTTTACCTTTTCTGTCACTGTGGATAGTTTGCAATCCTGCACCTTCAAGAAATCCCCCTTTTAGGTTTATTCAAGGAAAAAGATGCCAATTCTCAAATCAAAATGAGAATTGTAAGTAAAGCAAGAGACAATGATTTTAATTTTGAACAGTTTATATTTATAGGATTATATAGCTAATTACAAGTAATCATCTTAAATTCAAGAAGCCTTGAATCTAAGCTAATAATTGAGAACATATTATTGAAGACAAAGAGTTAAGCCAATTGACTACCAGTAATAAATATTCTAACACTGAGAGAAAAAAAAATGCTCAACATGACTTACCTAAAATATTTAGTTTTATATTTAAACTTATATTAGTTTAGCTTGAGATCACTCTGGTATTTTGATTGATTATAAGTTGAAATAAAGAATAAAATAAAGGAATGAACTATATTTCTAGAAAGAGAAAATACGGTATTTTCAGATACAGTTATTTCAAAGCTAAATGTTATTTTTAGTTATTATAATAATTATTCATTTACTCTCCATTTGCTTTATTGCTTAAAGCAAGCAGACTGGTATGAAACCATTTTCTTCCCCTGTAAAATTACTATTTTAAAAAAGCATTTCTAACTTATAGGATTTAAGAAAGATTAAATGAGGTAATATACAAAAAGATTGAGTGAACACAGTGTTTGTTCATAGTAAATGCTAACTAAAGAGTATTAATGTTTATTCTGATCTTTGTATATTTATGGCACCATTAATATGACTCCTATAAGTATTTTTATTAAGTCACTAATTTATTCTAGTCTTGAATAAATTAACAAGAATAGATACTTTTTAAAAATATATATTTTATTGATTTTTTACAGAGAGGATGAGAGAGGGAGAGAGAGTTAGAAACATCGATGAGAGAGAATCATAGATCAGTTGCCTCTTGCACATCCACTACTGGGGATGTGCTCGCAACCAAGGCACATGCCCTTGACTGGAATCGAACCCGGGACCTTTCGGTCTGCAGGCCGACGCTCTATCCACTTAGCCAAACGGTTTCGGTGGAATAGATACTTTTATTATAGTTATTTTATTTCTAGATTTTTGTAAAATTTAATTAGACTGATCTTCCTTCTAATTAGTATAAATTAGTGCATATTTTTATTGCTGTCTCAATTTCATGTCTTGAATTTAATATCAAGATCACAAACCTATGCATTATTTTCACTAATAAAGAGCTAAGTTTATATTTGAACTAAAAATATATTTTCCTTTGCAAAAAAACAAACAGTAAAAATCCAGAAAGATATTACTTATCCTTTCAGATGGCTTTCTCTTCCCAGATTTGTTTTTAAAAATGATACTGGTAAATGTTCCTTAATATGCTTATTTTGTTACTGAGAAGAATATTAATAATAGTTCATGTTTATTAAGTACTTACTATGTGATAGTTTTGCTAAGGACTTTTCAACTTTAACTCATTTATTCTTCACAAAACATTTACAAATGATACTATTATATTTCCCAATGTAATGATCTAGAAAGAAAGGCTCAGAAAAAGGCAATCAGTTTCCCAGGGTCAAAGAGCTAGCAAGTGGTAGAACTGGACCTTAAACACAGGTTCAACATCGAAACTTCAACATTAACCACCACCATACTGAGAAGTGAAATTGGAAACAAAGTGAAAGAGACTAATGTAAATGAGTGTCACCATGTAAAATTAGTCTTAATTAACATTATCCTATCTAATAAAGAGGGAATATGCTAACTGACCCTCACGCTGTCGCAAAGATGGCAGTGCCCACAGCCAATAAGGAGGGAATATGCTAATTAACTGTCCCACCCTTAAATATGGCAGCACCCACAGCCATAAGATGGCGGTGCCCAGTCCCTTCAGCCCCATCAAAGCAGCAGGTGTGCAGCAAGGGCGGGCCCATGGGTCTGGCCACTCTGTGCACCTGCCTCCAGAATCCCCCAGTCTCCTCAGCCCCCCAGCCATCCAGAACCAGCCTGAGGCTTAGGCAAGCCTCAGGTGTCAGCTACCCAGCCACCTAGGGCCGACCTGAGGTGCAGGCAAGCCTCAGATGGCGGCTGCCCAGCCACCTAGGGCTGCCCAAGGCTCAGGTAACCAGAGCCAGCTTGCGCTGTCAGCAGTGGTAGCAGCAGATGTGTGATGGGGTGTTGCCTTCCCCTTATAGCTGGGTTGCTTCCCACCCCTGAGGGCTCTTGAACTGTGAGAGGTGGCAGGCTAGGATGGGGGATCACCCTTCCTCCAGTGCATGAATTTTCATGCACGGAGCCTCTAGTTAGTTAATAAAGACAAAAATAGTGCCTCACTAAAGTTCTCATAATACTATTGAAATTCATTGAAAACAACTATGTTGAATAAAATTGTTTAGAAAAACAAAAAAGGAACAGGAAAATACAGAACAATATGAGGTGTTTAAAAGGATGTGCTGATGAGAGGAAGTAAATAGCTAAGTTTATGTAATTTGGGCTTTGTTTGTTATGGGTATTTGGGGCTTTTTGTTTGTTTGGCCTGTTTTAATTTTAAACAATAGAAATTGAGAGATTTGTATTTATCAGGCAAGAGTGTTTGGGAATAGAATAAGTAATTAAAACCAGACTTATTTCCAATCCAATACAAAATCCTTTTTTTTTTTCTTCCACATCATGAAGTATCAGTGCTAAAATGAAAGTTTTAACCACAAGCACAATAAAAAAGTCACTTGTGTATATGTATAGTTTTAATTAATTATCACCTGGGATTCTGACTACTAAAAAGTATCAAAACCACTTAACTTTAAAAGAGTAAATATGCCAAAATATTTAAGAGATCTTTGACTAAATTTATAATTATTTGTTAACAAACTGTATAATTGAAAGTATGATTCATTGACGTATTTCTGAACTTTTAAAATACATTTCTTCATATGTAAAACTATGTAAGCAAATGAAGTTCCTAGAAAATCTCCTAGCATGGTCTGGATACATTTTTAGTCTCAAGAAATCATGTTAAAAGTGGAACTACACAGAGAACAGTCACAGACAAATCATTCCAGAGACCAGAGCTGCCTGTGCTGGGTACAAAAGTGGCTCTCGGCAGCCTAAAAGATTAAGTTCTGTAGTCAGTTGTGAAAGACAGCTTTGGACATTTTCTATTAGAGCAGGAGTTCTGAATCTCAGGAGTACTGACATTTGGATTATCCTTTGTTGTGGGGGGTGTCCTGTGCATTTTAGGATGTTTACCCACTAGATGTCAGCAGTAGCAACCTAGTGCTAATAATATAAAAAATTATTATTTTTTTAAAAAGCCTCCAAACATTGCCAAAAATGCTCCTAGGGGGCAAAATCACCGTGGTTGAGATCCATGTTTGAGCATTTGTCATCTTGGTAATTCCATTTGCAGTTATCTAACATCTCCATTATAAACTCTATGTTTAAGAAAAAAAAAAAAATTCATGTGACTCCAAGAAGCTTGGAGAGGTGAAGCAGGAAAGAAGCAGTGATTTTTAAGAGTTTTGATTCAAAATGATACCCTCCTGGGTCTTTGTTTTGTATAGCCCTAACTACCTAAGGATGATATTGTTTCAGCTGCACATAATATATAAGTCTATTTAAGAAGAGAGTGTAGATTTTACAGTAAAGGTAAGCCTGACGGACTCTATACTACTGAAAACAAGTTGTTGCAGAACACCAACTCCTTATATCAGCAGGTACAGTGTTTATTAGATGGATTTTTAGAATGAAATGTTATAGTAAAATTTTTGTAAAATTCAATTATCATTTTAAAATATTTTAATAGGATTTTATCCTAGTGACAGGCTTTACCTAGACCTAAAATAAATAAATAAATAAATAAATAAATAAATAAATAAATAAATAAATACTCTCTATCTTCTGTCCCAAACTTTATCTCATTAAATTTCAGAAAAACTCCAAAATCATCTTTAAGGATTTATGTTTTCCTCATGATGATCCACAGCACTTTTGCTTCTTTTGTATTATTTTTCTGTCTTCTTTCCCATGCGTGTGTGAGCATGCATACACACACACTCTCACACACACACAGACACACACACACACACACACACACACGTAGGATTTTAAAAGAATCATTACAGGAATTGTTTGCTAGACACAAAATGAACTGTAGCATTGTCCATAAGAAGAGGGGAATAAAAGGTGCTTATGTTCTAGAGTGTGTGTGTGTGTGTGTGTGTGTGTGTGTGTGTGTGTGTGTGAGAAAGAGAGAGAGAGAGAGAGAGAGAGAGAGAGAGAGAGAGAGAGAGAGAGAGAGAGAGAGAGAGAGAGAGAGAGAGAGAGAGAGAGAGAGAAGTGAAGGAGGGGGGAGAGATAGAGATGTAATGAATATTCAAATAAATGAAGAATTTCAAGTATTAAATTCATAGGAGGGGTTTATGCTGTTGAATGAACAAAGTTGAAATCCATCAAGGTAGAACTTTAGTGGAAGTAGATAGAGGATAATTCAGAAAAATGTCTTCAGATATTTTTCCAAAGCAGGTCAGCAAAAGCAAAACTTTTGAGACTGAAATCATTAATTATTCATCAATAAACACTTATTTTGAAGAATCTCTCATATGCCAAGAAGAGTGAAAACTGTAACTACAAAGATAATTAAGATCTAACTCCTGAAAAACAAAAATGAATAACTGTAGCATGAACTTATAATAAAGTACAGTGAAGGCATAGGGGAAAGGACTAACTTACTCTACCTGTGAAGATTTTACAAACCATTTTGGTGCCTTAGCTTGGTCTTAAAGGATGCATAGGAGTCGGCTAAGCAAACAAGGTGGGAAGGTTGGGAATAAGAAATTCATTTCAGGTGTGGGAGGTGGGGACGG